CATTGGAACTTAAACATATATATATATATATATATATATATATATATTATGTATGTATTATATATTTATTTTGATTTCAATTCCTATTTATTACTAAACAAAATGACTCATTCTAATTGCATTTTATGTTTAAAATCACCGTGCGCTAAACAAATATGTTGTGTTCCTGAACGGACCTTATATGAAACTACTAGTTTTATACGCGCATTGCACGAATGAGTTAATGCCGAATATTTATAATTAACTAAGTATTTGAGAGTATATCATTGCAAGATTATATGTGAGAAGTTCATATATAAGTAATTGAATGTCGAATTTGTTTATTGTTTATTTAAATATGTAACTCAAAGTATATGAATACAAGATAATATATGAGATTTATTATAATTGTCACCAAAATAAATGTTTGCAACTTTATAAAATCGATAGTCTAACTACTTAGTTTAAAAACGGTAGTCTAAATAAATACTACATTTGGTTTCAATTTTTCTAAGTATTCTTAATTCTCTTTTTAGTAGCATTGTCGTTGTCTTCGTCATCTTCACTATTTGTCATTGTCTTTTTTTTTTTTTTTTTTTTGGTATTGTGTTATTTGCAATTGTGTTACTGTTGTTCTTAGTTGTACAACTCTTGATCTTGCAAGCGCTTGTTGATATTTTACAGTGGTAGTTTTCTCCTCTACATGTTTCATGTGGAAGTATTGAATAAAATATTAATATTTATTATATTTGTATATGGTTCTTGAATAGTACCATTTTCATAACTTGTTTACTTGATAATAACAATACTAACTCTGTAGGTAGTCCGAATACTAATGGTGTGTAGATATCTTGCTCAGGGTTCATTTAGTTCAACTATTATTGTTGAATGAATTATTATGGATAAAGAAATTCCTAATTTTAATAATTTAGATGAAGTAGTAAAAATTTTTTAAAAAAATAATATAATGTAACCCAAAGATATTGGACGGTTGGTAAATATGATGTTACCCAAATTAAAGACAAAACGCTAAAGAAAGTGTTTGGTTATTTAACAGTTGTGAGCAACAATTTATTCCAAACAATTGAAAATACAAATACAAACACTGCCATTTACAACGTTTTCACTTAGCATTTTGAAGAATAATTTCCCCAAAACACCCTTGTATTTAAAAAAAAAATGTTTACTGTGGAGCCGTTTCGACTTCTTAAATGACAACAACAAGTTTAGCTGGCTCACTGCTTTCCCATCAACGGATGGGCAAGCTTGATGTATAAATTGGAGCCTTGAGACTCCTTTTATAGGAGCCTCAAGGATCCCATGCCACATTTTCTATCGATGTGAGAAAAATGACAAAACTAAAGGGAGTCGAACGTTCGGTTCCCTTATGTTTTATTTTTGTTTTATTTTATTTTATTTCTTTTATTAAATTATTAATATTATTATTATTTTTTGAAATCATTATTATTATTATTATTATTATTATTATTATTATTAAATATATGTATACCATTTCGTTATTCTACATGTTAATCTAAACCATTAATTTTTTCAATTATTTTTTTACCAACTGTTGATATAATTTGCTGGTTAAACCCTCTAATATAATAAGCTATTTGCTAACTGCTGACACAATTCGCTAACACTAATCGCTAACGGCTGATTGCCAAACAAGGACATTACGAGGTAGTTTCCCAAATAGTTAATATGATTGGCTTAATTATTTTGTTTTTATTTTTTCATAGTATTAATAAAATACTTGGTAAATAAATATATAATATTATTTTGTATTATAACTTTGATATTTAATTAAAAAATAGTGTACCAAAAAAGATAATGGACAATGTAGTGAATCTAGTCAATTGATGAATTTGAATGTAAAGAATTTTTACATTTGAGAAAAATAAAGACAACATAACTAGCTAATGAAATTATTTCACTAATTAATTTATTGATAATGAATTTTTTTTTTTGAATAAAGGCATTGTAGGATTTGTAGGGACAATGTAGTGAATATAATCAATTGATGAATTTGAATGTAAAGAATTTTTACATTATAGAAAAATAATGACAATATAACTAATGAAATTATTTCTCATATTTAATTTATTGATAATGAATTTTTTTTTTTGAATAAAGGCATTGTAGACACATAATTCTAAATTAAAGAAATGCATATGTATTATTTGTTATTGTAGCTACTAAATTATCTATCTAAATACAATTCTAATAAGAGTCAATAATATTAGGCCCTTAACTGGAATTAAAAAATTGTTGGTGGTAATTGTTTCTTAAGATGAATGGTTCATATTATTTTGATTTTAGTATTTTTTAATGATTTTTTCTTATTTACCCTTTATTATATTATTTTCTTCTCTTAAATAAACTTAAATTCCGTTAGTATAAATTTATTTCAAGATAAAGAGTTTATAGTACAACTAAGATCCAGTCATATACACAATAAAGCAAATCTAAAACTTCCTACACCATAATCTCATTGCATGATGAATCCCTCTATGCTACCACCAATAATCCAATTGCACATGACACACTACCAAAAAAAAAAAAAAAAGACATGTGCTGAAGATGAAGATAATGACAAAGTTATCCAAAAGAGAATTAGAGAAATATAAACCAAAATTAGTATTTATTTAGACTATCGCTTTTAGACTAAGTACTTAGACTAACGTTATTACAAAGTTGCAAACATTTATTTTTGTGACAGTTATATATAATCAATCTCTCATATATTATCTTGCATTTATATACTTTAAATTACTGATTTAAATAAACAAATTCAACATTTATTTACCTATGCATGAACATCTTCTATATAATATTGCATTGATATACTTTGAAATACTTATTTAAAATAACCATTGAGCATTATCTCATTCGCGCAAAGCGCGTAGAAAACTAATTTTATTTAATAATAGTAAAATATAGTACTAATTATGCCAACTTTGATTGGGATGATGTTCAAACCTAAGACATTTTTTATTAAAATCAGTGAGTAAATTAACGGAGAATATAATTTTTAAGGAAATTTTGATTGTGATGGAGTTCGAACCTAAGACCTTTCTTATTGAAAGCATATAATTAAGGATAAATTTGAAAATCTCAAAAAAAAAATTAAAATTTGAACAATCTAAGTCATTCATTTGATTTAATAATTTGACGGACATTTTTTCTACTCATTATAGGTCTAACTCTTTTTGACTTTTATTAGTATATAGTAGATATGAAAGATTATAAGGAGGAAAGTATAGCATAAAATAGTTAAAAGTTATCAACTTAAAGGGCTTGATGCTAAGGTTCTCTATCTGTGGTAATTTGTGAGAATCTTTAAATAGGCTATGTTTTGAATGATTACCAACTTGTGGACGTGCCGGAGTGGTTATCGGGCATGACTAGAAATCATGTGGGCTTTGCCCGCGCAGGTTCGAATCCTGCCGTCCACGAACGTTTCATTTTCCTTCGGTCAGAGAAACAGAGGTCTGTGTATTAGCCAGGCAGGAACGAAACGAATAAAGGATTAAGCCACGTAAACACCAAATATGTTCATTTTATTTTACTATTAAAGGGATCATATTTCAACTTTTGAAATAATTAAATGACCAGGAGTCAATGTTATTCCATGAACAAAATCGATGTCGACCTATACTAAATAAAGGAATCATATTTCAACTTTTGAAATAATTAAATCACCAGGAGTCGGTGATTACTTCATGAACAAAATCAATCAATGTCGACCTATACCTTCAACATTGTGTGGACATAAGGTTATAGTCTTTGTTCATCAACTTTACACGGTGATGATCGGGAACTTTTAATAGTTGTATAAGAAAATTCTATCTTATAGTAGCTTTTTGTCGCTTTTTTTTTTAATATAATTTTTTGTAAGATAATAAGTCGATAAAATAAAATAAAATAAAATAAGTTACGGATTAAAATTTCGGAGAAACTAATTCCAAAAGAAAATTCAAGTCATGTGTACCACATATTGTCCTTAAAATCGATTCGATACCTCTCCGGGTTCTAGGAGCGTTGTAGCGTCAATGTTTCAAAATAAAATGGATTAAAACACTATATTTGATCACTCAAATATAATGTTTTTTCGGTGAACTTAAACAAAATGAGCACTTCATAAATTTTTATATTGAATTGTTGCCATGAACAATAAACGTTAACAATAGAGATTTATCGCAAACCTCCACTGCCTCGGACAATAGAGATTGATCGCACACAAATTGGTCGTAGACCCCTCGGTCAAGCCAGTCCAGCAGTGCAAGAGGTACCTTTCCGCTAAGAGGAGAGAATTCGTGAAAAAGGAGGTTAACACCCTCTTGGAGATAGGGCACATCAAGGAGGTCCTGTACTCTGAGGGGCTAGCCAACGTGGTCATCGCACCAAAACCGTCCACCTTGAGGATGTGGGTGGACTATACGGACCTCAACAAAGCTTGCCCTCTGAACCCCTTCCACCTACCAAACATTGACCAATTGGTGGACGAGACCGTGGGATGTGCTCTCATGAGCTTTCTAGATGCATTCAAGGGATACCACCAGATCTTCATAGATGAGGCCGATGAGGAGAAAGCAACCTTCACCACACCTGAAGGGATCTATTGCTACAAAGTCATGGCCTTCGGCCTCAAAAATTTAGGTGCCACCTACACCCGAATGGTGGCCAAGGTGTTCAAGCAGGTCCTAGGTCACAACTTACAGGCCTACCGGCACTACCACCACCAACACCAGCATCATCACCGTCGGCGGTCACCACCACCACAACCGCCACCCCACCCCACCATCAGCACTACCACCACCATCACAACCGCCATTACCACTATCACCACCTTCACCACGGCACCAACAGAAGCAAACTACCACCATCACCACCACTACCCTCATTTATATTATTATTATTATTATTATAAATGTTGTTATATTCTAAACAAAACAATTAAAATGTTTAATTATACAATTCTGCTCATTTTACAAAAAGAAACTAAACACACCAAGACAGTTTTCTGGAATGCAACCAAATACTGGAAATGAAAATGTTTTCTGAAAAATGACTCATTTTTCAAAAAAAAAAAAACATTTTCCAAAAGTCATTTTCATAGTTTCCACACATACACTTATAGTTATAGCAAAACTGTAATAAATCGTTTGCAGGAAATAATATTATTAACTCTATATACCATAAGACCCACATTCTCCTGATTCGACTAATCTCACAAATTGAGATTCGTAAAATAGTGTCACAAAAAAATTTGCCTTTAAAAAATTGAGTTCCCAAAAGTAATAATTCTAGTCAGTTACTAATTTTTTTTTAGTTCTGTACGTATATAGAAATTTTCTAACAATAAACAATTAGAAAAATTAGACTTCAATCAAGTGCAACTTATTTTCTCACTATTTTTGTGTCAAAAATTTTCATTTTATGACCTTAGTTAGTAAAGTAAAGGACTACAAGAAGTTAAATTTGCTTAGGTGAGCTGATCAACTCAAATACAAAAGATTAATAGATTGTTCTCATTGAGACTTAAACTTATAATTTTATAGTTACCAAGTTAATAGTTTTATAGAAATTTGATAGATTTACCTTTCTCACTTAATTATGCACTAGTATGATACTTGTGCGATGCACGGCCTATAAATTTGTAGTAGTTATTGTTAATTTTTTTTTTTTTTAACATTGTTAAAGTGTATTATGTATATTGTAAATAATGGAATTGACAGTTACATATGTTCATATGAAAATAATTATTATTATTTAGGGTTGGGGTTCAGCCTTTGGAAGAATGCAAATAATTATTATATAAATAAATATCTTTCCTTTTAATAGACTGTTTTTATATATGGTAATTAATTTATTACATCATCTCAAACATTTTAATAGGTTACTTTTAAATTAATATATATAATTAAATTATTCTACTCAATTATATATATCATTCCTAAAAACGATCCTACGATATATACGTATATAACAATATATAAATATAGTATTATCCTATTATACCTATAAGTAATTAATAATAATACTCCTAATAATAATAATATTAACAAAAATATTATTTAAATGTATATATCATTTAAATATTAAAACAATGAGCATATTGAATAATTATGCTTATTTTTTACTTTAATTGTATTATTTACTGGAATCTTTATATGTGATTAGTCTTTTTGAGGAATATCATTCTATTTATAAATTTCTACACATTGTCAAAAAACTCTCACAAAAAATATCTTTGATGTTACCATGACTCGTAGCTCTATTTTGTGATTAGAGGAATACATTTTTCCATTAATAACAAAATGTCTTGTATTGTGCATGGTAAAGCTTAACAATATTATTACATAGAATACATGTCCTACACTATTCTATCATAACATTTTTTTTTCTAGGAAAAAATTTTTTTTTTTTTTGTCTTTATGCATGATATATGTGCTCTTGAAATTGGTTGTTTCACACTGTTTGCCATGGTCCTCTCATTTGCTGTGTGATATGTTCTTGTATATGTACTTCAAAACCTGCAAAATAGAAACTCAAAGCCAAAAGGAAACATTGTTTGTTACCTAATTCTAATTGGTAATAAGGAATTAGGAATAACTTAAGAGAGATCCACCTTGAAATATAGATAAAGGATAATAAAATTCTATCAGCTTTTGGAGTACTCTCATTTGCTATGTGTGATGTGTCCTTGTATTTGTACTTCTAAACCTGCAAAATATTATGAAATATCATAGAAAACACTGTTGCTACCTTATTCTAAATGATATTAAGGATTTAGGAATAACTTAGACAGATCCATCATGAAATATAGAAAAACATAATAAAATGTCTATCAGATTCGAAGTAGGAATGACGTCTCATCCCCCGTTGAAATGCCTTAGACAAAAAAATGTCTATCTGTTCATTGTTCAGCACAAAAAACCAAAATCACGATCATTCAATTGTTTAAAATTCAAAATTCAAACACACAAAGATCTTATCTTGATGTTCACAATTCCTTCAGTTTCTCAGTTTTCATAGAATAGAGCTTTTAACATGATCTCGTATAAACTTATTGATGTAGCCTGATTTGAATTGAGATTTGTAAAAGAACTTACCTGCTGGTCATGGAAGACAACTTCTTTGGATGTGATTATGGAAGACGTTTTTCTCTCGGAGATTTCATACGCTCTCACAACTCGCAAGAGAAGAGCGTTTCTGGATTTCGTACACTATTACAACTTCCTTGATAGTGTTTGTATTGGAGAGGATATGAAATATATATATAAATGTTTAGATAGTAATTAATTTGATTGGCTTAAACTTAGTAATTGATTTTGATTGACGGACTTAATCTTACTAATTGATTTGATTGGCTTAAACTTAGTATTGGATTGGACGGAAACTTTTTACCGTATCTCATTTTACTTTAATATATATATATATATATATATATATATATATATATATATAGAGAGAGAGAGAGAGAGAGAGAGAGAGATAGAGATAGAGATAGAGATTATTGGCAATCTTGCTATTATTTCAATCTATAACTTGCCTTACTTCCAAAATATAACTTTTCACTTTAACGCAACTAAAAAAGTAATAGTTTATTTAAGGTAACTAACACGGAGTGATAGTGTGATACTATTTCAAGCGGGGCTGAAATTTACCAGCACTCCAACCACTACACCACAGCGGCGACCCACTCCACTCATCACCCGTCGCTCCCAAGCAGTTTGACTCCAAGGTCTTTCACTCTAACCCTTTTTAAGATGCTCATGCCTTTCATCTTCATCATTATCTTATGCATCTTAATGTGTGAAGCTTTTTCTTTTCGGTTACTATTCTCTTGGATTCAATTTTTTTTGTTTTGATCTATCTGTTTGTCAATTTCTATAAATCTGTGTCTTTTGAGTTGATTCTTGTGTAAATTGTTTCGGAAAAGAACCCACACCCAGCACTGGGTAGTTGGTTTAAGCTTGATTTTACCTAGATTTCACAACAAAGGGGGAAATTTGGCCGGAGGGTTTTATTTGATTTATTAATTGGTCAATTAATTGCAAATGCCTCAACCTGGCTCCAGGACAGCATTTGTTGCAATTTGTAAATTCTAGGATAGAAATCAATTCGTCTTGATTTTATGTTCATGTGCTGGTTTAGATCCGTATTTGGGGAATGGCTTCATGTAAAAATGGCTGGTTCTGGGATGATATTGTGGGTTATGATCAATGTTGCATAAGGCGCTAGGCGATAGTCAGGCGCCCCAGGGGCGCCTAGCGCCTAAACAGCCTAATAATCCGAGTATATCGTCTAGGCGGCCTAGTAATCCGAGTATATCGTCTCCACTTTTTGTTATACTCCCCCAAACTAGTCAACTGCATATGTTAGATGGTTAGTTGAGTACATGGCTGGATAAATATAGAAGAGGAGTAGTTGAGTAGGCGAAAAAAAATGACTCAACCGAGTTAAGCGCCAACTCGGCTGAGTTAGGCACTCAACTCAGCCGAGTCGGCACCTAGGGGGACGAGTCCGATTAATCAGTCAGCCGACTAAAAGCCTCCTAGGGCTGAAATTGCCTCGGCCTAGGGGTGCCTAATGCCTAGTCGATGCCTAGGCCGATTTTTACAACACTGGTTATGATGAGTCAATAAAATAAATCAGATGGTCATATAGAATAATGTGTATTTAACCATTTGACTGAATGGTTTGTTTAATTAGTTTTTCAACTGATTAAATCCCAGTTCAACGACTGAGGCCATGCACAATAGACTAACTTTATGAGATTGAATTCTTGTTTCTCTGGATCTGCTCCTAGTTGTAGTTTTGAACCTACTTGACATGTGAGCCAAGAGTAGTAACTCATAATTGTCATGATGCTTTAAACTGCCCATAATGTTGACCATATAAGAGTTGAAAGCATTTAATTGTAATAAAATAATTGTTGTTTGAATAAGCACTTTGAGGAAAGGGAGGGGTTTGGTTACTTGCTGTACATGGGTTACTCGTGTTTAATTTGGGTATTTGCTTGTGGATGGCAGACTAAATCTACATTTTCATCGTAACGACATAGCAGTTGTGTTGCAAATGTTTTGTCGTCTTTTTCATTGTTCATTTAAAGATATTACACTGTACTTACCTAAGATGGCATCATGTAAGCTAGAATGTTTAACATCTGAAAGAACATAAAAAATTTACTTTTCAGAGGGTAGATAGCAGTGAGAGAACAACTGCTATACGCCTATACACATACATGCAAAGTTTGAGGTTATTATTCGCATGGGACTGTTTTTTTCCTGAGTTGGTGTATTTTTAACTTTGCTACAAGTGATATATATCTCATATATGTTATTGCTTTATAATTGGAAATTTTCCTCAAATGACATTTTATTCAGCACCAAGTGTTCTTATTTATAGTATAGAGTAAGCGATGTTGGAGCGAAACACAACTTCAATGCTATTGTTAGTCACAGACAATTGTAACTTAAGTATGATCTGTAGGGAAACAGAGGTACTTTTGCTTCCAAAATGAGGTTATTCCACTGGAGCATGAAAATATGTGCTTCAGATTTGAACAGTCATTGTTTGCTCAGGACGCTTAAGATGGTATTACATTCTATTCTCAAAATATGAATGCATGCAAAATATGGAGTACTTGATTTTGTCATTCCCGCAAGTGTCCTTGTAGTGCAAAGTTGGCATGGTAATGGTTTGAGCTTGTGCTTTTTTGTCACCTAAGCTTCTTTTGGTGATAGTGTTGCTGAGGTTTTAGAATAGGAATCACTAACTTATGTGTTTGTGATGTTTGAATCATCATTCCTTACTATTAGAAAATGCTATAATGGGGGGAAGAGACCAAGGTTCGAAACTAGGCAGCGGCAGTGTCGGATGTCCAAAGTTGACAGATTCCTTGTGTGCACCGGCATTTGGCCCTGTTTACTGAGCCACTGAGTTACCGTGATTTACATCCTCCCAAATGCTCTGTCGGGCCAGGTTGTGGGGGGCCCTTAGGGTTGGGGATTCAACCTTTTGGGGGAAGAAAATGCTATAATTATAACAACAATAACAATAACTTTAATATCCTTGGATTTGAGTGTGTTATGGAATACAGAGTATTACACATTGCATTGGTTTGAGTTACCTGGAGTCCAGTGATATTGAATGCTACAAATATTTGTTTGGTCTATAATTGTCAATTTCTTCGTAAGTTTTTACAGAATATATTAGTATAGCATTACTTAAACAGAATAATAATGATGACATCTACTTACATGCATCTTCTCTATGGTTGCATTAGTGCTAGCAATCAAAAGATTTCACATACTTGGTTTAGAGTTGTCTATCACCCGAGTTAAAAAAGAGAATTAAAATATGCAGTATTCATCTCGATTCACTTCGTTAAGATATTTATCCTCCAAATCATGGTTGAATTGATTGTACCTGTTAGTATTTTGGCTTGGAATTTTCCATTGAGAATTTGAATGTGTTGTGCAGCGAAGAGTCAAAATCTAAGATGAGTCTGGCATGCCTGGTATGCCATAGTGTAGAAAGTCCCTTGCACTCTTTCAGGAGTTACTCGGTTTCAAGTTCAGACAACGAAGGAAGATGCTCCGCCATTGCCAATTGCTTGACCAGGAAGACGTTGCTTCCACACTCTTGTGCAAATGGCGGTGTCACAACGTCTAAGGTGACACCTCAGCCTGCTGGTCAGAGTACCGTAGTAACAGGACCCCCGAGGCTAGTTCGGAGCCGTGCTATCAGAAGGGACCTCGTTAGAGACTGGAACTTTGAAGGTGTTGTGTTAGAACGCTAAGGCTACACATATGAGAAGAAAGCTCGGAGTGATCGCAGCTGCTATATGTGTTGGATTAAGGATAGGATGCCATATTCAGTACTTTAGTCTCACTATTTGTTTCAAAGAATGTGAGCATACTAGATGAATTTTGAGTCAAGTCATCTGTTTATAATATTCTCTCTACTCTTGGGCTTCTCAGAACTGATTTTCGATCTTTGATTCGTCGTCGTCTTCATGAACTTCCATGTTTTGTAATGTAAGTCTCAACAGTGAACTTCTTTAGCCTTTTTAGTCGCAGATATGTAACATTCTGAAAGATGATTATGTGACAACATTATTGTAGCATTATGTATTTTACCTTTTGGGGTCAATTACCATTGCTATCAACTTCAAACAAATATGCATCTAACATGTTGACGAAAATAGTGACTACTGACAAGTTCAATTATTGTTTGAAATTTTTGTATGTTTTAGCAAGGTTGTAAAAATCTGTCTAGGCCCCGCCTAGGCGCTAGGCGCCTCTAAACCGTGGCATTTCCTCCCTAGGCGCCCGCCTAGGTTACCGGCCGCCTAGGCGTCCGCTTAGCGCCTAACTCGGCCGATTTGGCCGCCTAGCGTCTAAGTTAGTCGAGTTAACTTGTTCATTTTGATCGAGTTAACCCAATCAGCTTGACCTATTTTTTAATTATATATATATATATATATATATATATATATATATATATATATATATATATATATATATATGTGTGTGTGTGTGTGTGTGTGTGTGTGCGCGCGCGCGCATACATATATATAATGACATATATACACTCGTAGATTAGTTTGATACTTTGAATCTTTGGATGATTTTAGTATTTGAGTATTTTTAATTTTTAATATTGTTTTAATGTTTTTTTTTTGAAAATCATTGTTTTGATGTTATGAATTATCATTAATTCATTTATTTGGATGTGTTATTTGATTAAATGTTGAAAACAATCTCATTAAAATTGTCAAACTGCAAGTCTACCACTGTTTTTTTGGCGCCCGCCTAGCGCCGCCTAGGCGCTAGGCGCTGTCCGGGCGCCCGACTAGCGCCTAGCGCCTACTACAACCATGATTTTTAGTTGTTAGATGAGCATGGCCACCCAACTCACAATTGTGCTAGAGATGCCAGGTTTATTTCCTAAGGGTATATTTGCACAAGGTCGAGAATGAACTTCTTGTGTATATGTCATATGTTACTGAAAAATAACAAGTGTTGGAGCTGAACAAAACAACAACACGTACTTGTCTATGTTGTTTAAACCTGAACTAGGTTTGCTGAGTGAATGGGGTGTGGGGACAACTCTTTCGCAGTACAATATATGGATAATTTTGTAAATGCACCATTAGAATTGTTTATTAATATAATAATACTTATAACCTTAGATGTTTTATCATCACAATTTATAGAAGATATCCTTCGTTGTACTTCATTTTCGTTTAATGTTCTTGATCTCGTTTTCCTAACAAATACTTATAATTATTTTTTAAATATATACATTTCAAACAATAATATTATATAAAATATTACAATAAATTCAATTATGAATAAATTGAGTTATACTTCATTAATCATACTAAACAAATAAACCATGAGGAGAAGTAAATTATAAGGAATGCAAACCACATTAAAGAAGCTGAAAAGGATAGTTATCACGTTGTTTTTTACGAAGTCTATCGAAGTAGGAAACCCGTGCAGAGAAACAGCTCAATACCACTACTAAAACTCCAAATCAAATTCATCTTCCAACATCATTTTCCGTGACTATATAAATTTATTTATAAATGGATTTTCATTTGACCAATATGTATGGTGTATTTTTTATTTTATTTTTTTTAACTTAACATCTAATATTAATTAGTGTTGTATACATCAACATCGTTGGAAAATTTGTTTTGAATTGAGGTGACCTAAATTCGACAGTATTAGTCTCATTCTAAGATCAATTCAATTATAAGACTCCGTTTTACACACACACATAGAGTAAAATTCAGGTGTGGTCGTAGTCTCCCGTGCAGTCATGCAGATATATTAGAACCGTAGGATGAGCTGAGATCAAATGGCTAGAAATCAATGAAGAAGAGAAATTACACGGTGGCAATTTCGTAATTTCTTGCACCATGTATATTTCGACGGTGCATTTATTTGTATGGTACATTTTTGAGTGATTTATGGTGCATTTATTTGTATTACACCACTCAATGGGGGTGTCAAACCCGTCGACGGGTTCAATAGACTCCCGTAAACGAGGTGTATTACGTGCTAGCGTGTGGTGCATTTTTGAGTGTTATGTGGTGCATTTTCACGTGATACATGGTGCATTGGGATTGTCCCACGCCTTTGGATGCAAATGATAGGACAATGCAGATTAGGCCACACGACCGCATGGCAGATGACGACCGCATATGAGCGTGTGTATATATATAGACCATCGTATTAGATGAGATCCTGAGATCTCATCTCAACCATCTATATATTTGAAATTAATGGATATGATTGAGATTAATTATGTTGTTTGAATTTGATTATAAATGAAATAAAATCTTTTCCATATTTTAAGGAAACCTATCAATAGTATAAGAAATAATTCTAGTTTTTAATACTAAGATTTTATAAAAATTCCGTGAGTGAAGAACCACAATCAAAGTCAGACATCCAGAGTTTGCACATGGCAGAAGTCGTTGCCGGTAAATTCGTTCAATATTTTAATTTTGTATGTGGTGTGTAGGTGTCTGCGTTTGTGACCATTAGCGTGTGCAATAGTCCAAATTTATTATTTTCTTGAATGTGGTACTTTGATGGGCGTGTGCGCCCGGTCTTGCTGGTTTGTGGATATGTGTTTCGTGTGTTCTAGGTGCACAATGGAGGGTTGGGTCATAATTAATTGCAGTGGGCGCACGGATGTTCATTCAAGTAGATGAAAATAGTTGACTACAAAAGTACGACTATATGTGGTTTTTGTTACTCAGCGTGTGCATTTGGACGGAGTAGTGTGTGCATTTGGCTGGGTAGGCCATGAAGGGTTAGGGTCCGTTTCAAGTGTGAACCATTGTTATCATGTAAATCTGTGAACTCCGTGCACCGTGAGATGTGAGATTGAACGGCCAAAATCTAAGGAGTAGGTGCACTTGTGCATTGTGCAATGTGCAATGGTGCGATCAATCATTATTGTGTGGACCATGGTCCATACAAGTTGTGTGGATAATATTTTGTATATTGTAAAATAATGTACATTCAGTACAAAAATAATGTATATTTAGTATATTAAAAATGTACATTATATTTAGAGAATGTATATTATTTGAGTACTGAAAGTACATTATTTTGTATAATGTACATTCAATACATAAATAATGTACATTTAGTATATTAAAAATGTACTTTTTGTTACGATCCACACAACACTGTGTGGACCATGATCTACACAATAATTTGTCTGGTGCGATGTAATACATTGATATAGTAGTGTTGTAAATTACAAGATCAAGCAAGATCAATGGGTGCATAATGATACACAGATTCACATAATAGCATTGGTCCGCATTTGAAACAACCCTATATATATATGCGCAAATCGTTGATTGTGAACATGCCTAGTGCTTTACATAAATAAGCATTCAAAGCTGAGGCAAGTTTTTGATCCGAAAGTTGCTCTCTTCCACGTGATCACTAATTAAAGCTTAGAAAACGGCCTTCAAAGTTCATGCATCCATACCCACAACTTCCTTCCTTCCTATCAAACTGCACAATCAAAAACAAACATCATATCATCTAACAAAAAATTCTCAAATTTTTCTAAACCCCATCTCATCTCTTACCTACCTTTCTGATTCTCCGGTGAAAGCTATGCATGCAAGGAATATATTTTCAGGCACTCAACCAACATCTTTGGTAAGTATGACAAACTTCGTCCTCTTATATATTATCATTTTCTTCTTCTTGTGTTCAGCTCATTCCTTCTCTTGTTTGCTTCTGGTTGCATATATTTCTTCCATTCTGTAAATTTAAAAATAAATAAAACAAAAACTCCAAGGAAACTTAAGGAACAATGATTATTTTCATGGAGATAAAGACGAAAGATGTCTTTAACGATTAGAATAAGCAACCATAATAGAAAAAAGAAGAATTATTTGTGATAGATAATGCAATGCAGAATCAGAAGGAAAGGCTTCTACAGAAATTTCATTCATAACAGAAATGTCAAAGCTAGCATAGCATAGCATGGCTTTATACAATTTCTCTTTCTCGGCATCCACAAAAAATATATATATATTTATATTTGCAAGGTTGAATCCGTAGGACCTAAATGAACCAGACAGACCATCAGCAGCAGCAGCAGTAGCAGCCCCATGAATTTGCTAAAAAAATCGCAGAATCAGATTTGGGTATACCTATATTTCCTTTCCTATGTACAATATTCAATCACACCACAAACGGATAATGGTCCCATTTCCGACTGTGGTAGAGATGTATTGAACCAGAAGAAACAAAAAAATAAAAGAAAAACCAATTTCGGTTGGCTTAGCTTTGTTCAGCAGATTAAGGACCTGACGATTCCCCGCGCTCATTCTCCTCTTGTTCCGTAGAGTTCCCATCTTGGGATCTTCTGTGTGCTGAATCAACACTGCCTGCTGTGCCACAAAGTTGGCATGGATTTGAAGATCTTCGAGAGCACCAATGATCTGGAACGCTTATAAAATGGGTGTCGATGAACTTTCTGAATCTTTTCTTGTACTCTATGGGGGAGATTACGGTGGGCAACTGATTCTTGGGGACAACAAGTGAGGATTTGACCCAGGTCTCGAATTGCTTGTCCCATGTATACTGTCTGAGGTAGTCGATGATGCCACAAACAAGTTCACGCCGCTGAGTATCCACTCCCACAAGTAGAGAATAATCCATTACGTTGATCAGCTGACAGACCGCAAAATATATGTTAGAGAAAGCTGAAACACATCACACAAGGTGTATATGCTATAAAGTTCTCATTCAGTACATAAAAATGGAAACGAACTTACATTGAGGAAACCAGTGTCATTCCATACAGCACGTTGCAGATTTCGCTTTGATTTCGTACTGACATACAGAGGAGAGACATTCATATCATTCACAAAGTTCTGGTCAAGAAGCACATCTCCCGCCCCATTGCCAGTGGAATTAAATCGAGCATGCAGAGCACCTTTAAGGTCATATTGGCGAGTGATATTTCGACCAAATGAAAGGTTTTCCATCACCATCAGCTCATGCTTTGTTTCTTTTCCATTCTTTGTATTCCTAATGATAACCTGCAAAAGTATATTATCAATCAAGCTAAGTCCTAGAGGAAAGGAGAGGAGAAAACCCAATATGATAGCCTAGCCTAATAAGATACCTGATAAACACCAAGAATTTTTGCCAGGCAGGTCTGATTCCCCTTTTCATAGCACTGATCCATATAGTTGAAATAAGAAAGACCAAACATCATAAATGACTCAAATTCAGTCCTCTTAATTCCCTTTATAATGAACCTGTCATCTAAAGTTTTAGCGAAGAAAGATTTACTTTTCCCACCTTTAGCATCCCAGCCCCTACACCGACTTAATGAAGCAATATAATCATCCTCAGATGTACAACATCGATCCCGCAACTGACGGAACTGGCTAGCGAAGGTACAAAGAACAGTGTATTTACGTTTTCCCTGGAGCTTTCCTGAACCCATGGAAACTTCTGAATGAAAAGCTGTTGTAGAAACGGAAGATTCCAATGAATCTAACCCATCAAAACTTGATGAGCGAGATTCATCAAAAAGAACACTAGAAGAATGGCTACCTTCAGCAGAATCTAATGAGCTAGCTGACCAATGTGGAGAAGACAATGAGAATATTCGCAATAGGCCTTGAGAACTCTCATATATCTTGGCTCCCATTACTTTGTCTTTTCTATCATCATCCCCAAAATCCTTCAGCAAGGCCAATGCACAAGCAATTATGCTTGAGAGTTCATCCTCATAGTCAGACACAATGTAGTCATCACTGCCAAGAGGAATATGCAGTTTTCCAGCTTCCTCAGCAACAAGTGCAGAAGCAACAGTTTCTGTAGCATGGCTAGTGACAGATCCAAATTTTGGTAAGTTGCCTTTTTTAAGATCTTTCATAAACTCGCGTCGAATTTCTGGAAACGGAGTCCAAATCCACCCCTTATCATCCTCACCTGTTGATAGCATCGAAATAAAGGATTTATCCCTTTGAAGATGGTTGGAACCCACATCACAAGTAATTGGTATTAATTTATCTGTTAGCACTTCATTAGAACTATTGTATTCTACATGACTTGCATCACCAAAATGGGAATTAGTGTCCAGTGCAGATAAACTATTTCCAGTTGCATTCATATCAATTGGGCTCTTACCACCTTCAAGAAAGACACAAGATGACGAGTCATCTGGCAATATTGATCCTTCAACTTGTTTGTCAAGATGAATTTCTTTAATGGGAATAGCAGTCACATTAATATCATGGTAAGGTGCATTTCCTGAAACATCTGTATGGCCTTCTATAGAAATTTCTGCCTCATCCATTTCATCACCATTAGAGCCATCAATTCTAATGTCAGCACACCTGTCTGCAACATCATTCCCTCTTTCCATGTCTGTTTCAATGTCATTGACTTCTCTTCCAGTTTTATCATACTGTGTCAGGCAAGTTTGCCCATGCTCCATGTTGTCAACTTGAAAATCCCTATGCCTCATCAGTTTGGTATCAGATGACAGCAATGCACGAAGCCTTCGATCCCAAACACATGATTCAAGCATAAGCTCCATCCGTATTCTGTTCAAGCTTAGGAGTCTGTACACAATGTTATCCTCATTCCCATTATTTAGATTCTGGACACCAACCTGATATTATGGCCATAGGCAATCAATGAAAAGCATCCTTTAGTTTAGCAAGTACAATGCAAGCACTGCAGAACTGCTTTGCAAATGACAGTTGTATCAAAGAACCATCTCAGAACATGTTCCCAATTTCACATTAGTTTATCACTTGTGCATATGTTAACAGAACATGTTAATATAACTTAATTAGCATGCCTTGTAAAACACAAACATGAACTAATATATTGCCAACTGGAAGCATAATTATAGTATTAAGAAGCATAAAATTTTATGGGGGATTAATTCTAGCTATATCATGTGAAAGCATAAACCATATCCAGACAATTGAAGATTGTTCGATAACATTCATAATGCTCTACACCGAATGAATCATGCCGAAAATAAAGAAAAAGCAACATCTTTTGCATAAAGTAGCAAGGGAAGACATAACCTCAAATTGAGACCTCTCCTCCTTCAACATTGCTTCAATTTCAATGAATTCTTTAGGAGTTTCTTGAAGGTTGAATTCTTTTCCAGTGGAATGAGACCATATATCCTTCAAAGAATTTTCAATATCCATAAACATCTGAATCCCTTTTGAATGTACCTTCAGGAAAAAGAAATATATCTCAGTCAATATAATTATATTTTTATTATTACATTATTTTACATTATATATAATATATATAAAAGAGAATACAATTCCTTTTGAGTTCGTCTTTGTCCAAATATTATAAAATGCTAATAGGTTTTAATTGATTACTCATAAAGCAACATACTTTCTCAAAATCTTTCATTAGATACTCTCCTTTAACGGGATTGCTAAACTCAAGCTTCAAAGGAGGTAGAGACACTGAATAAGTAGCAACAGGTGAGTATCTGAACATGGCAACCATTGGACCTAATCTGCACATTTAAACAGATGATGTCAGATACCTTCTAACATGACCTAATCTCCACAAGTGGGGTTGGAGAGAGGGAGAGAGAGTGAGAGAGAGTGAAACGTGCCAAACCCAGAAAGGGAGAAACATCATGTATGCTCTTAGTCATTAGGAATAGAAAACAATAACAAAGCCCTGATAGAGATCGACATACAAAGTAGGAATTGCATAACACGAAATGCAATTTTAAAATAGATGCAACCATTCATACCCGAAGAAGAATACAAAATCCCTGTGAAAAGAATGTCCACACCCAGATGGTGCACTGAAGAATGAGGAGTTTGAGAAGCTCAGCTCCAAAAATTTTCCAAATGATAGACCGCGAGCAGCAGCAGATATCAGAATTCGCTTTGTAGATTTTGAATTTCCATTTTCAAGTTTACATTTACCACAACGGCTCCACATCCAAAGCTTCCCTTCACTTTCACCTGGCAAACACCAGTCAGCAGGAAAATGTCGAACTTGGATTGTGAGTTGCTTATTATGGTGTGCATAGTGAGAAATATGAGCTTCAGATGGTTCACCACAAGTTTTGCACAGGAGCTTCTGCACCAAAAAGCAGTTTATATGAGCAATCACCCAGAAGAAATGTTAAATCAGGGTAAAAAAACAACTCATAGTATGTATGTAGTCTTTTTAGCGGTACATCCAAAAAAACAGTAAACAGTAAAAGATTTTTGCACCAGCTACCAAAGGCAATGAAAAGCTAAAATGTTTTATGTATAACAAAACTAAAGTTAAATGGAAGTAAGATTATTAGCAAATATAGAAAGTTGAGTTCAAAACCTGATTTAGCAAATAATCCTGCAAAAAGTTCCCAAGGGGGAAATCAAAATTCTTGTAGAACCTGATATGAGAAAAATGTCTATGCTCACACATAATTCCTTTGGAAGCATTCCTGCTTGACATCTGAACCAAAATACTTTCAGAATCTAACACTGTGCTAATATCATCCCTGCCATTCCTTTGATCTTCATGTATCTCATTCTGTGGATCTAAAGGTTCCTCGTGGTTCTTTAAAGTATTTATAATCTCTTTCTCAGGAGCCTTCTCTTCATCAGGGAAAATCTTTGGTTCTTTAACATCATTAACCACAGTTGTAGAGTTAGAAACTTGAACATCAGTTCCGGCCTGATCATCCACGTTCCTTCTGTCAAAACCAAGATATGAGGACATAGATTGACGAGAGGATGACAAAATAGGGAAACTTTCGCCCATAACTTTTCTTAGAGAGGATGAAAGAGAAGAAAGGCCAGATAGGATGATTGGATTGTACGGCTCAAGTGACAATGCAGAGTCAACTTCTGACTTTAAATTGGGATTTCCTTCTGCATGGAGCCCTTCAGAAATTGCAATATCAGTAGTTGAATGAATGTCAGGAACAGTATCTTCATCATTAGAAAGGCTTTCTGCACCATCACCAACAGATGTTGAATCTTGTTTGTTAGCTAATACAGTCACAAAATGTGTTGGGGAAATAGTAGAAAACATTGCCCTCTGATCTAGAAGGAAGGATGTCTCAAGGATTAAATGATATGCCATGATAACTGCACATCGGACCACACATTTAATCCTCTTTAATTCATCACTGTTACTGCCCATCAATAAAATCTGTCCATGAAAATAACTGATTCAAAATCTAGAAGAATATTTGAAAGGCAAAGCCAAAGTAAATTCTATGCATCACTAAAAGAAGCAAGAGTATGATTAAAATCTTACAAGAATGTTTGATAAAGCTTCTGTTAAAAATGTGTCAGCGAAAGTGAGAGGTCAACTTTTAACAAACAGGGGATATAAATTATTCAGTAGTAGACTATGGAGAAAGTTCTAGTACCACCAGATCAACATTTATGGTGATCAATGAAATCAAATTTTCAAAATAAGGATTAAACTATATTAACATTAAAAATTAAGTATAACCTAACAAATCAGAATAATTTCAATAAAAATTTGAGGCAAACTTCTAAGTCCGGAATACAACAAGACTTATATAGAGATGGTTATAGGTACATGCACATTTACATTAAAGGCACAATAGCAATTGTTACAATGATAAGTGAAAATTTAACATTTCAAAATCAGGTTAAAATTATGACCAAAATCAATTGAAATTTAAATGAATATAAGAAAATTTTAACATACATATTACGATTCTCTCAGAGATACACCACATGCTGCAAAAGTGGGTTATCTGCCAGTTCCTAAGGTTACCCCCTTACATATAAAATTAAGACCACGGCACAACAAAACCATGCAGGTCAGAGGAAAGCAAATGTCACACATCACATTCAAATAAACAAATAACAATTCTATAGATGTGTATTTGCACCACCATACTTCATTATCACAGTTACCTTGTTATTTGCCAAGAAAAGGGCATCCAAAGAGTATTTTTGTACTTCATATCAAATAATCATATGGAAAAGAACATTATTTAAAGCAGCATTCAAATAAAGTGTATGTGCAATATGATCAAGGAGGAAACTGTGATATGTAGTATCATCAATTTACTCCACTTGCCCAGATTCACCTTTATGACTGATGATAACTTGTCCTTTTTCTTTTTGGCTTCTTGTTACTCCCTTAGTTATTTATGTTCTCTTTTTTTGTCCTAATGTTATAGGTGAAATTCACCAATTGAAGTGGATATAGATGTCTAAATATATAAGTATATTAAAATGAAAGTTTATTTTCCAGTAACATCTATCACATGATACTCTTTACAATGAAACTCTCCAGTAAATTTATTAACAAGAAAGTCAAGTTACATGGACGATGTTATAATTTAAGATTGGGCCATGGTCACTCAACTGGGCTATAATGCACATGGGCCAAACCACACTAAAAGATTGAATCCAACCAGGTTGACCACATGGGCCAAACCACACTAAAAGATTGAATCCAACCAGGTTGACCACTTGAAATTGGACCAGACCCTCCCCTGAAACGAAAGCTCTGGACGCCACCAAAGTGGACCGAACAAGCGGGCTTAAGCTTGGACACCACCAATACCCATAACCGGGTGAACCCAAAGTGGACCAAACAGACTCTGATACCATGTTATAATTATAATTTAAGATTAGGCCATGGTCACTCAACTGGGCTATAATGCACATGGGCCAAACCACACTAAAAGATTGAATCCAACCAATTAGCTAGTCTAACCCATGGTCTTATAAACCCATATGTTCTCTCTTATTTTATAGATGTGGGACTCTTAACAGACGACAAATCACCCGATGATTCAAATGACTCAAATGACAGGAAAAAGGGGTTCAAAGATTTTGTGAAATAGGCAAGGTGAAATTCACTCACCGTACATCCAAGACGAGTGGGACAACCTTCAATAAACATCAGTGTTTTGTTGGGCTTTCTTCCACCTTCACGAGAAGTAGCATGTTCTTCTACGAACTTCTCAAAATGAAATGAATCACACTGCCTTAATTTTTGGGCAGCCAATGTATCACAGGATAAGATAGGCGAACCAGTGCATCGAGCAACTCTCTCAAGGCGATGAAGTTTCATATCAAAGACTAACGTGATTCCTTTCTTGAGGATGGATTCCTGTACATCACGAGACACAGCTTTCTCCACTAATACAACATTGGGATGGTACTTTTCTAGAATTTCAACAAATGATTTGAGCCCCTCTTTCTCCTGTTATTGGATAACAATAACAGATTGTCAGATACTCAGAATTACAGAATAACATTTTGGTATGCTACTCTTAATTAATTTACAGTTGCATAACTGGATAAAGAAATATTACCTGCTGCTGCATTGATTCAAAAGAAGACAACTCATTTGAAGAGAGACCAAGTGCACCCTGAATCAAAAGCAATCTGGGACTCTTGTACCTCGTAGGCATGTGTTTGTGAGCAGCATGTTTCTTGAAGACTAGACCTTTAACGAATTGGCTACAAAAGCAATGCTAAATGACTTCAGTCCAAAGGATGCCGTAACAAAACCATTTGGAATGAAATAGTTCCATACAAATACATTCCAACAAAATAGTTCTCTCCTCATCATCAAAGCTCAAGAAAAAATGGAGAGGGAAAAAACATAAAATATTAATACCTTTGATTGCGTGAGCCAGTTGCAACACATTTTATTTTTACATATCCGTCAGGATCCATTGCCTTCCCCTCAGCTGCATCCACCTTCACAAACGAAGCAGCATTCCATGATAGAGAAGTGACTATATCAACCCAACTGTCACTATCTTCCCCTTTGGGGTTGACACCCACAGACCTGAGAAATTGAGCAACAAGTGCCTTAAATTTCCCACGCATAACCTCTTCCATTGCCTTCTGTTTTTCCTCTTTGAACTTGAAACTCCCAGAGTACTCTTCTCCAAAGCTAACTAAATTCAGACCATTATCACCTTCAATATCGTCATCATCCTCATAATTAGCCACACTCCCCTCCAAGTCCAAATCTCTATCTTCAGGATCTGGTGGTAGCCAAAAGTGGCTATCCACTTCAACATTAAAAGGTATTCCAGTTTCTTCATCAATGTCTCTTTCCACTCTACTATTTTCCACTACTGCACTTTTATTATTTCCACTAGAGTCTACATCACTTCCTGTCCACAAATTTTCATTATCAGACAACCCTCAATGTCACTTCGAATTAGAAAGTCAGAATGATAAATACCATTTGATGGAGGTTGTAAGCTAAATCCATAAAGACCCCCTCTTGTATTAGAATTGAAAATCTCTTGACTGCTGTCTGTGCTGCTTTCATCAAGATAACCCCTGATAAAAACACAATTAAACCAAGACCTATGAATATGGTAAGGGCATCTACTTTAAGGTTCCACCAACTACTTTCTTAAGAAAAGGTAGAACTTCTAACCTGTAGTCAGAGTTTACATCAACTGAAAATTCACCTGAAAAGTTTAATTAACAGCAGCCGGCATTAATATGGAGAGCAAAACAACATATGAGACAAATTCTGGGGCACAAATGAGCTAAGGAAATCATACTGCAACTTGAGACGGATCTTTCACTACTTTGCATTGAAATAGTTGGACTGATCGATGGCACCCCATGAGAAGTTAAATTCTTATCTTTCATTTCACCATTTAATCTTTTACAGTTATCATTCTCCTGCTTATCCATGCTGCAACAAGACTTAGTGGATTTGGAACCACAATAATGGCACATATTACATCTGAGCCCAGGAATCTATTTCAACCTGCATGTCCAACCCTGAAAAGTTCATTTAAAAACTAATTTAAAGACAAGAGTATCCCAAAACAGAGAAAATTACTATAAACACCAATGAATTCTAGACAGCATTAGATCTCACGAAGACCGTTAATGAACTCCAAGACATTGCATAGTATACAGAAAAATATATACAAGGCCACTTAGTAAAACTTAGTGAAAAACAATCAAACTATTCAGAACTGCAGTAAACACAGCGATAAAAACAAGAATTAACCGGCAAAAAGCATTTTTAATTATAAATAATTCTATTAACTCAAATTCAAGTAAATCTTCAAAACCAGCAATCCAAGACTGAACGAGTCAAAACACTCGAAATGAAAAAATAAACGCGCAAAAGAGAAATGCAATTTCTCAAGTCAGAACTGCACACAAATTTATGAATCCCAAATACAGGGCAAACAACAATCTCCCCAAATCCGAACTAAAATTAAAAAAGGTAAATACAACACATCATTGATCAAAATATAGTAAAATTACAACTGTCACCTAAAACCAAACAAGCATTTCAAGATCACAACTAGGCGATGAAACCTTTTTTTTCCATTTATGGCCACCAAAACAATCGCCTCAAAATCCTTTCATAAATGACTTACCGTAAAAGCAACCCAGTTCACACGCAAAAAGGATCCCCCAAGATCAATCCGCACCATAATAAAACCCGGAAATTGGCCACTGCACAGACGCAAATTCTCGCCCCGGAAAATCAGGAAACAAAAAAATCCTCAGAACTAGAAGAGATATAGAGAGAGAGATGGAGAAGTTAGAGAGAGAATGAAGTGGGTCCCATGCGGTTACTGCTCGAAAATGGTTAAAGTGGCAGGTTTATATAGGAGCAGAGAAATCCAGTCTATTTGAAGATGATGATGATACTCTTTCACACACACATTTGGATCTGTGAACACAGTTAACCTTACTTGTACGCAGTAATTTTTTTGATTTTTGAACGAAAAAGTCTCAAAAGATTTGAATAATATACGGATAAAATCTAACCTTTTTATACGTACACCGTATTTCTCTGTTATTTTTTTTACCTCCACATTTGAGATTTGACTTTTATGACTAGCGGAGAAAAAAAAAATCAAGACTTTTTAATTTCAACTTCTTTATTAACGTGTAAGAAAATTAGCATTTTCTAATATATTCTTTTATTTTTAATCTTAAAATTGATCAAATTCAATTTTGACTATTAAAATAGGTTATTTAAGACCAAAAAAAAGTGATATATTTTAAATAGTTATAATTCAAAAATAAATTTGATTAATTTTAAATTTAAAAATCAAAAGCAAACAATAGATAGTTTGACAATGCACAATAGACCCTCATTTCTATTCAAAATAAATAAATGTTATTTTTATTAAAAGCGGTAAATAGGTGGTTGGACACTTGGACAATGGTTTCTTATTTCTATTAAAATTTACCAGTTGTAGATAAGTTGGTATGTGATTAAAAAATACTTCATAACAAAAATAAAAATAAAAATTGTATGATTGAAATAAATGATAAAACACATAAATCTTATAAGAATTATATATTAAAATTTTGATTTTTAATGATGAGAAAAATATAATCTCGCATAAATTTTTAAAATGTACAATGAACTTATTAGGTTTTGTGTTCTGAAATGATTACACTTTTGATAAATGCATTTTAGTTTATTTCTATCAATTTTTGTTTCTGAATAGAGTTTTAATATCTAATCTAAAAATATAATAAGTCTCAGTCAAAGTTATATCCATCACTTATGTCTATGTTTTTAATACTAATCATTTTATACATTATGCTTTTAGAGTTGTACTACATTATTTTTTGGACAAAAATACCCCTATCATTATAACTTTCGTTCTCTTTTCTATTATTGTTACCCCATGCACATGCATCCACCATATATTTTCTTATATTCTTTAATGATAATAATATGGCACAAGTGTCAAATAGACCCATGTATTACTGCGAAATGCTCCATTCCCACCACGAACTAAATTAAGTGTCAAATAGGCCCATCTACCTGCCAAATTTGTTTAATTGACATTTTTTACAGGTTGCTAACAGGTTGGCTATCTAATTATTAAAAATAAATAAATAAATAAAATTAAAATTTAAAAAATTTTAAAAAAAATAATATTAAAAAAAATTTAAAAATTTAAAAAAATAATAAAAATAAAAAAGAATATTAAGCCGCCGGATGCCGGTGACTGATATTCTCTTTTTTTTTTTAATTTATTTTTTTTAATTAATTTTTTTAATTTTTTATTCTATTTATTTATTTATTTTTAATAACTAGATAGACAACCTGCTAGCAACTTGTAAAAAATGTCAATCGAACAAATTTAGCTAGTAGATGGACCCGCTATTTGACACTTAATTTAGTTCGTGGTGGGAATTGAGCACTTCGCAGTAGTACATGGGTCTATTTGACACTTGTGCCTAATAATATTTGTAGACATTATATATTGAATTATTATAATAAAAATAAATTTGATTTCATATAATTTTAATTAGTAAGAATTTATTAATTATTTTTAAAAAATATAAATATTAGACATATGGTTTTGCACATTGCGCATAGAAAAGACTAGCTGATATTATAATCATAATAAAAGAGTTATTGTTCCATTTGTAGAGTATAGAGCATAATATCTCTTTATCCCTATAAGAAGAGATAAGAAAGAAAATAAAAACTTTATGATAAGAATATCATAACCATCATTTATCTTGCTAAAATCATCTTTCTTGTTCAAGTATGCTTCTAAAATAAATCCTAAACATGATTTAGTATAGGTTGTAATACGTATATTTTGATTATGTAAATGTTATATGCAAGGCGGAGGTACGTGGTGGGTAGGGATAAATGTAATACGATATCAATGCTAATTATTACATAAAGTATAATTAAAAATTATTATTGATAATACATAGTATAATTATGCATGATATATAAAATGATATTATGTATGGGCGGTACTGATGTTGATTGACCTTGTTAATTTTTGTTATAATTTTGGCTATTTAATATAAATTTTCTGACTCCGTCCATATTATATGTATGTACATTAGGTATAATTTCATATTAACAAGTGGTATCCAAGTCTCCACTATTTGATATTTTGATTTACATATATATAATTTAAGTTGTATTAGTTCAATTTGAAATCTTACTTGTGTATGGAAATGCCTGATTTTGTATGTTGTGAATTCTGACGAAGTGTTTTCATATATTAGTTTTCATTTTGACCATACAATTTATTATTTTTATTTTAAAAAAAGAAGATCTATCTATTTTTCAAAAATAATACAAATTTAATCATCAGTGTCTCACGACATTAATGCTTTCAATCCCCCTTCATGTTTTTTTTTTTTTTTTTTTTTCTCTTTTATCAGTGCATTATGGCAGTAATGTTTTTCTTGTAATTTAACCCTTTAGAGCATTGCTTTTCCATAAAATTTTAATGGTTACATGCCATAGTAGCCCTTTGAATATGCTTTTAATTTGAGGTCTCTACTTGTGTATGGAAAATGCTTGATCTTGTATATTGCAAATTCTAACGTGGATTTTTATCAACTAGTCTCTATTTTAATTTTCGAGTTTAATTTTTTTTAAAAAAATCCTCTATTGTTCAAATAAAGATATACATTTTAAGAATTTTCTCGTTTCTCTTTACAAAAATCATCTTTATTGATTCAACATGGTCTCTATTCTCAGAGATTGTTCGAATATGCTTCCACAATAAATCCTATATATAATTCAGTGTAGGTTGTAATACGTGTATCTTGATTATGTAAATGTTAATTATATGCGGAGGCGTAGGTATGCGGGTGGGGCCACCCCCCACCCCCACCCCACACCAATAATTTTAATAAATATTTATGTATATATTATTAGAGCATCCATAATAATGGGGATATTTTGTAGTTTTTGAGGAGTTTTTGTAAGTGTGATTAAGAAAGAAAATACGGAAGGGAAAAAAAAAGAAAAAAAAATTGATTTAAAAATAAAAATAATAATAATATAATATCAGTGGTCGGGCGCATACAGTGCACGCGCCCGCTGGGTGCACTCGTGACAGCCACACAAGGCTGTCACGTTAGGTTTAGTTTTGAGGTGGGTCCCACATTTCTACCAAGAACCCCAACCTTGCAAATGATCCCCAACTTTCTCTCTCATGTTTATCTTTCATCCATGTAAGCTTTGTATTTATTAAAAACTGTACGTGCATGATCCCCAAATAAACCCCTGATGTGTATGTTCTTAGAGTTAATTCCATTTTTTGTCCTATATTTATAGGTGACAGTCCAATTTTAGTACTTTTTATTAGAACATCCACATTTGGTCCTAGTATTATTGTGGCATGACCATTTTTGTCCTCTATCAACAAAACAGTTTTAACGCCTTTAAATACAAGGGCATTCCGGTCTTCAATTACATATTTTTTTCAAAAAAAATTAACATAAAAATATAGCGTGGTCAACTCACTTTATATAAAAACGATCGAAATATCTTTGTATTTAACGACATTTTAATGATTTTGTTGACGGAGGACCAAAATGGTCATGCCACAATAATACTAGGACCAAATGTAGATGTTCTGATAAAAAATGACTAAAGCCTATAAATCTAGGACAAAAAATGAAATTAACTCATATTATTATATTAGGAATAAAAAATATCTTTTGATTCCCTTAATTTTTTTAATTTTTTTTTTATTATGTGTACATTAAATAATCCCAAAACATATATTGAAGTCTAAATTCACCAAATAAAAAAATAAGTAATTAATTAGTTAGTGATTATGTATTTTTATTATGAAAAAAATGACGGTTTTAGTCAATTAATTATACCTAAATTGTAGACTCAATCCATGAAATCAGCTAGGCCCCGATGAGTAGGAGGGCGCGGCGGTCGCTGCAAAACTTTGGGCGCGAGCCCAGGCGGAGCGGCCGTCGGTGCAGATCTTGGTGGTAGTAGCAAATATTCAAATGAGAACTTTGAAGGCCGAAGAGGGGAAAGGTTCCATGTGAACGGCACTTGCACATGGGTTAGTCGATCCTAAGGGTCGGGGGAAGCCCGACAGACAGCGCGTTTTGTGCGTGCGTTGAAAGGGAATCGGGTTAAAATTCCTGAACCGGGACATGGCGGTTGACGGCAACGTTAGGGATTCCGGAGACGTCGGCGGGGACCTCGGGAAGAGTTGAAAGTGGAAAAGTTTTAATCCAGTACTTATGGATTATGTTAACATTAACAATTTATTTTAAATTTTAAATTATTTATTTAACTTTAAAAAAAAAAAAAAGGTCTGAAAGATTCTGAATATGGATTGATCTTTGAGTAACTAATGACTCATGACTCGTGAATGAAGTCTGCAAATTCTATTTGTTAATGCTATGCTACTATGCAAAAAGCTATGTTCGCACTCCTTATCTTCGCACTCCTTGCGTTGAGGGACTACAGGAGGCAACGGTAAATGGATTGATAACCACAGAAGGTTGTTGGGATGAGGCTGTTTTGCAGGACTTATTTATAGAAGATGATGTACCTCGCATCATGGCGACTCCTCTGTCAAGTTCTTATCCCGACCCTTGGTGATGGAAAGGCGATCCCAGAGGTATGTACTCGGTACGACATGGGTATCACCTTCTCACTGGTTCCCTTGGTTCTTACGACCACAATGGCATTTTCACAGCTTGGAAACGGCTGTGGGGACTACCTATACCACCCAAAGCAAAAAAATCTGTTGTGGAGATGCGCACGAAACATAGTGCCGGTTAAAGAGACCTTGAAGCTCCGCCGAGTTTGGGTTGGGGGAAGCTGCCCTTTTTTGCGACTATCCGATGGAGACGATGGAACATATGTTCTGTGAGTGTTCTATCGCGCGACAGCTCTGGGAGGACGACGACGTGTTGCGCGGCCGAAGTTTAC